TGCTAATTTTATCACTATGATACTTGTGTGCTAATTTGAAAGTTTTATAACTATTAATATTATTAAATTTGCTATTAAATCTAGCAATTTTTTTTAAACTTATCTTCGTTCTAATTTAAAATAAAGTTGTGACATGTTCGTGTCATATGATAATATTCAGGTGAAATTTTTACGTTTAGGGGCTGTTTGGTTCGTTTCCTAGATATAGGAAAATACATTTCCATGTACAAAAACACAAGTTTTGAGTTTTCTAAACTTTTCCAAGAAATAGATTATTTCTCTTTGGTTCGCACAAAAAAATGGTGAAAAACTAATGTATTTATTTTTCTTGTGTTTGGTTCGCATGGAAAAAAGGGAAAACTTTTGTTTATATGACAAAAAGCTGACGTGCCTGCAGTTTTCGTCAATTTCACGAGGTTGAGGAAGGAATTGGGGGAGAGAAAAAAAAATCTGATGTGGCGACGATTTTCACCAAGTTTCCTGTCTTCAACCCTAGCGAACCAAAGATGGAAAAAAACCCGACGGAAAGCTTATATCCTACGTGGCCACGAAAAATCTGATGTGAAGGCGGTGTAAAACTTTTCCACCGAGTTAAAAAACGAACCAAACAGCCCCTTACATGGTCGAGAAACTAACTTATGGTACTTATTTGTTACAGAAAACAACTTTTTGTACTTACTTGTCACAAAAAACAATTTAAAACAACTAATGATGCTTATTTGTCATAGAAAATAACTCATGATATTCAAGTGCCAAAATGGGGATACTTTTGTGATAATTAAGTGCCATTTAACTATTTAAATTTGGATTCGTAAGAAATAAAGGAAAGAATAGAGAAAAATCTACAAAAAATGACCTCCTTAATAACACTCCCATTACAAACGTCAGGTCATAGACTAACAGATACGACGGCATATTAAGAGCACAAAGAAAGTAAAATGTCAGGCACTTCAAATCTTCAGGAGCAAAAAACTTGGCACCATGAAGTTTTCTAAATTTCTAAATGTTTAATAATATAAAGAGAGTAGTTAACATACTACACACAGTGAAGGAAAGAATACTTTTGAGAGAGAGAGAGACTTACAAACAAAATAGAGATGCTTTGCTGTTGCCCACTCTATTGTACTTTTCCACGATTTATAGCTAGCTAGCCCATCCTGCAGTTCGGCCTCTTTTAATATCCAGTAGTTGGAAACGGACGGACCCGCCCCCACCTCTCAATCATTTATGCATTCAATCTCTCTTTCTCCACCGTGCCCATTTGTGAGCAACGGAGTTATCAATATTAGTTGGAAGAGAACATCTTGATTGACGACGAGCATATTAGACCATATATATGACTGTACTTTGTAAACTATTCCTCCGTTACTACACCCAAATATTACCAAGCCCATGATGACACATCAAGTTTAATAGCAATTCAAGTAGAATAACTCCACACTTTTGTGTCAAGTAGTGTAGGAATAGTTTAGATAATATAGTTTAGTTGGAAGAGAACCAGATTGGCTGAGCACTTGATGGACCACGTATAGTAACCGCTAGATGTGTAAAAGATGACCTTTCTCAATGTTGGTGATGAAATAGCCAATAATCAATATGTAGGAAAGGCAATATTGCTATGGAAAATAATGCTTATCTAAAAAATTTAACTTAGCAAAAGCTGTGTTGTAGCCCCTTGCTTTTAAGAAAGGGGTATTTATCTTTTAACCCAAAGTTTTATTCTAACTTATTTAAAAACTATCCATTCTTAAAACCACTCATACACCAAATAATCTCCAACTAACTTATTTTTAAACCCAAAGCATCAAATACAAGGCATTTGTATTCTGTACTTACCCAAAAAGGGTAAAACCCCAAAAATACCCTATTGTCTTTCTCATTATCGCCTCCCCTCAACTCAGTTCTCAATGAACTAGTCCTCTCGTCTCCATCCTTCTCTAGTGGGATAACATCTCATCATGCTCACACCACCTCCCTCGAAACTAAACCTGTCACCTATGAACCAGATGACACCCTCTTCACTCTTAACTTAGCTCACAACCTGTTAGCTAATATCCCTCAATGAAAGAAGGTTACCTCACTACGACCAAACAATAGCACAAATACTACTCTTAGCAATGGGTTTATTGTTGAGTTCATGATGACTCTAATTAGGATTAGTTATACTATCCTAATTAGGATTGGATTGAAGGAATTAATTGAATTGGGAAATTCAATTAGGATTCAAGTTAGAGTTCTAATAGGATTGAGCAAAATCAATCTCTATATATATTGTATCAATCCATGGGTTTAAAAAAAAGAAGAAAAAAGAGAGATCTATATTCCACATTTGTTAGGGGTGTGTAGTTTCAACCTCTTGTAATATCTTCTCAAAAGAAATAAGATCTACACCTTTCTCCCCATGGACGTACACAGATCATCATGATTGTGTAGAACCAGGTTAAATCTTGTTGTTTGCTGTTTGTCTTGATTGCTTGGTAGATCTAGGGTTTCTTAATTGTTTAAGTTTTATCTTCCGCGGCTTGAATATTCAAACAATTGGTATCAGAGCTACTATGGCAACCAAGACGACAGTGACCAAGTTCGAGGTGGAGAAATTTGACGGCAAGTCGAATTTTCTCTTGTGGAAGATGCGCGTCATGGCGTTACTAGTGAAGGAAGGGGTCCACCGATCCCTAGACGGTTTTTAGAAGAAGCCATTCACTTTAGATGAAGATGAGTGGAAAGACATAGATGTCCGCGCAAAGGTTACAATTATCATGTGCTTGTTAGATGAGGTGCTCTACAACGTTATGAACGAGAGCATGACTGCGGCTATGTGGTGTAAGTTGGAAAGCTTGTATATAACGAAGAGTTTGTCAAATAAACTCTTCAAGAAGAAGCAACTATATGAACTTCGGATGAAGGAAGATACGCCTATTCTGCAACACTTGAACATCTTCAATAGGATTATTGGCGATTTGTTGGCTCTCGAGGTGAAGTTAGAAGAAGAAGACCAAGCTCTTCAGTTGCTGTGTTCGCTTCCACCCAGTTACAATCACTTGACGACTACCATCATGTATGGGAAGGAGACTTTAGAGTTGGAGGATGTCATCTTAGTGCTTCAGAATAATGAACTCATCAGGAAGACGAATACCAAGGAGGAATCCTCATGTCTAGTGGCCAATGTAAAGAAAGGGAAGTCGAAGGGCAAGGATCCGGTCAAGGCTCAAGAAATTCTAGTTTTGTCGTCTGTTTTTGGTGCAAACAACCAGGTCACTTCAAGAAGGATTGCAAGTCGTACAATGAGTACTTAAAGAAACATGATGGTGGGACTGACAACACTAAGGGTAAGGATAATCATGCTGGTGTCGTAGAAGATCTTTGTGATGTACTGACTGCGGAGTCAGGTATGGGCAAGTATACGGATGATTGATTCAGGATGCACATATCACATGTTCCCAAGGAGGGAGTGGTTCAGTACTTATAGGCTTGTTTCTGGAGGATCGGTTCTCATGAGGAACGATGCAGTGTGTCAGATTGTTAGCATTGGGAACATCAGGTTGAAGATGCACGATGGACAGGAAAGGATTCTCCCTAATGTTCGGTATGTTCCGGACATAAAAAAAATCTTCTTTTGTTGGGAGCTCTTGAGGCTCAAGAGTGCAAGTTCAGTGGTGAAGGTGGAGCTATCACAGTCTTCAGGGATGCTACTGCTGTTCTGAAAGGAGAGCACACGAGGAACTTGTACAAACTTATAGGCAGCGTCATTGAGGGCAATGTTTCAATAGCAGAAGAGAAGACTGGTCAATCGAGACTTTGGTACATGCGTCTAGGACACATGAGCAATAGGGTCTGCAAGTACTCCACTGCAAGGGCGTGCTTTCAGAAATAACTCAATGCAAACTTGACTTTTGTAAGTATTGTGTTATGGGAAAGCAGCGTAGAGTATCTTTCTCTACTTTGAAGCATAAGTCCAAGGGGTTGCTAGATCTTTTCCACACTGATGTATGGGGGGCCCTCACCGAAGGCATCCATTGGAGGTGCGAGGTATTATGTTACCTTCATTGATGATTTCTCCAGGAAGCTTTAGGTCTATTTCTTGAAACAGAAGTCTGAGGTTTTTCAGAAGTTCAAGGAGTGGAAGGCGTTGGTGGAAAATAAGAAGGGGCTGAAATTAAAAGTCTTTAGGTTAAATAATAGGGGTGAGTATACCTCCGGAGAATTCAAAGAGTACTTGACTGATGAAGGCATCCAACATCAGTTAAGTGTGCCAGGACGACCAGAACAAAATGGAGTAGCTGAACGCATGAATCAGACACTGATGGTAAGAGCCCGCAGTCTCTTGCTACAAGCAGGCATGTCCAAAGGTTTTTGGGTGGAAGCGGTAAATCATGCGTGTTATTTGATTAACAGGTCACCATCTACAACCGTTGATCTTCAGATCCTAGAGGAGATACGGCGAGGACAATCAGTGGACTACTCAAATTTACTCATATTTAATTGTCCAACGCATAGTCTTGTAGACAGTCAGAAGATAAAAAAGCTAGAGTCCAAGTTGAGACAGTATATCTTCATAGGATTCACTTCTGGAGTCAAAGGGTACCGGTTATGGGATCCTGAGACTCATAGTGCCTTTACCAGTAGAGATGTGGTATTTGATGAAGACGCTATCATGCAGGCAGATTTGAAGACAGAAGACAAGGTGCAAGGTGGAGCTCTAGATGCTTCTACAGATTCTCGGGTACAAGAGGTGGAGTTTTCGAAAAGCCCTGCAAGCCCTAGTGGGCCTACCGATGAGACTCCAACCGAAGATGGAGACAGAGCTACTACACAAGAGGAGTAGCCAATAGCGTTGAGACGCTTAAGCCGTACAGTGGTGCCACCTACTAGATATTGTTGGGAAGACAATGATCACATATTTTTTTGTTTTATTCACAGAAGCTAGAGACCTATGTAGCTACAGAGAGGCTGTTGAAGTAGATGATCATGACAGGTGGATTACAGTCATGGAGTAGGAGATGGAGTCTTTGGAGAAGAATCAAACATGGGTTCTGGTTAATCTTCCAAGAGTCTTAAAGGCGATTGGTTGCAAGTGGTTCTTTCAGAAGAAAGATGGCGAGCAATTCAAGGCAAGGTTGGTTGCCAAGGATATGCTCAAAAGGAAGGAGTGGACTACAATGAGATTTTTTCTCCCGTAGTCAAACATAATGTTGATTATCATATCTCCATGATAGTATTTTGATGATAACAATTTATATAGTGTGTGCACTAACTTTTATATGCAGATTTCAATATCAGAATATGAACAAGTGCAAGATGTTTTCAAGGCATTATGAAGTGAAGAAAATGAAGAACAGATGAGATAATGTATTTTATATTTTCTTTATTTAGAATTATTGTACAAGCCTTGATCACACACACGCACAAACACACAATATTAGAACACACTAACACATGCTTAGTGTGTTGGTTAACTATAGAAATCCCCTATGTTAACGGTCGAATGCCATCTCATATTCTCAGCCAGCTCGGCAGACATATAAAACCTCTGCAGCCTAGGAATAATAGAAAAATATCGGAGAACCTTCACAGGGATTCTGGACTGTTTATCCGATGATATGCCTTCAGATGTGCCCGTATGTTTTTTCCAGCGTGATACATGACACGTCGGACATTCCTCTAGACCTTCATTACCCTTATTGTACAAGATGCAGTCATTAGGACAGGCGTCTATCTTTTTGTAATCAAGACCCAGGGTATCAACAATCTTGTGAGCTTCATAATAAGTTGTGGGGATGCTCTTCTCGCCGCCTGGAATGACTTTCCTGAGCAAGTCTAATAACATCTCGAAATGTGTAACAGCCATCCCACTGAGTGTTTGGATATGAAGAAGCCTCAGCATAAAAGAAAGCCTTGTGAACTCGGTGCAACCCTCGTATAACGGAAAGTTTAAAAATTTGTCTTTTCAAGGGCTATAAATAGGTTATTTGTTCAGAAAAATTGCAGATATATACATACTCATAAGCTTTGATCTTTGTGCAATTTTTCAAGTGAAAAATATTTAGATTTTGAGAAAAAGAGAAGTTTCTGAAATTGCCTCTGAACATTATTCAAAAACCTATTGTTTAGGCAATTTATAGAGATTAAAAGAATCCTAAGCCACTGCTGCACTTCACTACACATTCAAGGCTTATAGGATCAATTGTGTTCTTGCTTCAAAAAGGATTCCTCTCGGGTTTGAGAGGGTTGATCTATTGGTTTAGAGATTGGTGTTCATATTGGCAAGGTGTTTGTCAATTGGTGTTGTAATTTGTAGGGACTTACAAATTGGTCAGGTTTGAGTTTGATTTTGTAAGTTTATTCAAAATCATAGTGAAAACTCTCAAGCGGGATTTGCTTGGGGACTGGATGTACACCGGATTGGTGGAACCAGTATAAATCCTTGTGTTTGTGATTGTGAATTTCTGAGATTGCTATTTTTCTTTGCAATTTATAATATACTTTGCATAAATTTTAAAAGAATACTATCCACCCCTCCTCTAGTGTTCAAGTGTATCTATTTCAGATCCTACATTTGGTATCAGAGCAAGGTGAAAGATGGCATCTACAAATACATCACAATTCAAAGAAGGTCACTCTACAAATCGTTCACCAATGTTCGATGGATTGAACTACAACTTTGGAACATCGTAGAAACAAAATATGAGAAGCCAACAACTCCTTTTGAAGAATGGACTACTTCTCAAAGAAATAATGCAAATTTGGATTCAAAAGCAATGAATGCATTATTTTGTGCACTTGACAAGAATGAGTTCAATAAGGTGTCAACGGCCACATCTGCATACGATATTTGGCATACACTTGAGGTAACTCATGAAGGTACAAATAAAGTTAAAGAATCTAAAATTTCTGTTCTTGTGCACAGATTTGAATTGTTTAAGATGAAGGAAAATAAGACTATTGGATAAATGTTTACAAGATTCACCGACATTACAAATTCTCTCATTGGTCTTGGAAAAACATATACTCAAGTGGAGATGATAAGAAAGATACTTCGTTCACTTACTCCACAATGGGAAAAGAAAGTTACCGCAATTGAAGAAGCCAATGATTTGTCAACTCTTACGGTTAAAAATCTTATTGGTAATCTTATGGCATATGAAGTTCAAATTGAAGATAGAAAGAATGATGAAGAATCAAAGAACAATAAAGTTCTTGCTTTCAATACTACTTCCGATAAAGAAGATTCAGATGATGATGATGAAATGGGCATGTTTGCACGAAAATTTCAGAAATTTATAAAACGAGGTAATTTTGAATCTAAGAGTTCAATTTCAAATAACCCTCTTTGTTTTAAGTGTAATAAACCAGGGCATATGAAGAAAGATTGTCCAATATTGAAGAATAAGTAAAAGTCAAGTTATTTCAACAACTTCAACAACATTCAAAATAACAAGAAAAGGAAAGCAATGGCAGTCACTTGGGATGATAGTGATGAATCATCTTCAGATGAAGAAATTGAAGAAAAGGAAAGTGCTCACATGTGTTTCATGGCACAAGATGAAGTAAGTGAAAATGAAGAACTTTTAGATGCTTTCAATGAATTATATGAAACTTTTGTGAGATTAAAGACATCACATAATTTTCTTATAGGTGAAAATAAAAGATTACTTGAAGAAATTTTTGATTTAAATTCCTCTATTTTTTCTAATTCTCAAATAATTGAATTGAAAGAAGAAATTTTTTCTTTACTTAAAGAAAATGAATGTTTATCTAATGAGAATAAATATTTAAAATCAGAATGTAATGATTTAAATATTCGTATTAATAGTTTAGAAAAAGATATTTCTTCTTTTAAATCAAGATATGAAGTTATATGTCTAAATGTAAGCAAATTTAATAAAGGTAAAGAAAATCTCAATAACATTCTTTCTTTTCAAAGAGAATCACAAAAGACAAAAGGATTAGGTTTTCAATTTAATAAAAATAAATCAAAGAAAACAATTTTTGTAAAACCTTCTTGTGATTTGTATGAATATAGAAATGAAAATGTGTGTAAAAAGAAATCAAAATTCTTTTCTATTTGGGTTCCAAAAGAATTATCTTCTTTACATAAGAATTTTTATATTTCTGATTTTATTAAAAATATTTGTTTATCACCTAACTATTTAGGCAAATCAAACTCTTCATGGGTTTGGTTTCCTAAAGGCTAATTTAAAGGACCCAACATAGTATGGGTACCAAAATATAAATGTTTTTTTAGGTACCCAAGAAAGATAGGTGGATTTTGGATAGTGGTTGCTCCAAACATATGACTGAAAACATACAATTGTTGTCATCTTTTCAAAACAAGGATGGTGGTACCATTACTTTTGGAGATAACAACAAAGGAAAAGTCATCGGTATTGGATCTGTCGGTAATCCAAACAAACCTATCATTGATAATGTTTTATTAGTTGATGGTCTTAAACATAATTTACTTAGTATTAGTCAACTTTGTGATAAAGGTTTTAAAATTGTTTTTGAAAAAGAATCATGCTTAATTTATGATATTGATTTAATAACCATTATTTTTAAAGGTTATAGAAAAAATAACATATATGTGTTATCTATGAATAATATTTCAAATGAACATTGTCTTATTGCATCATCTAATGATTCTATTTTATGGCATAAACGTTTTGGACATGTTAACTTTAAACATATGTCTAAGATTTCTAAAAATGATTCAGTAAATGGTTTACCTAAGATGTCTTTTAAAAATAATTTTTGTGATGCATGTCAACAAGGAAAAATGCACAAATCTTCTTTCAAATCTAAAAATGTAATATCTACTATTATCTCCATACATAGTGATCATGGAGGTGAATTTGAAAATGAATTATTTGCAAATTATTGTGATAAACATGGTATATCACATACTTTTTCTTTTCCTCGTGCTGCTCCACAAAATAGAGTTGTAGAAAGGAAAAATAGAACTTTATAAGAATGTGCTAGAACCATGTTGTGTGATAGTAATTTACCTAAATATTTTTGGGCAGAAGCTGTATCAACAGCTTGTTATATATTAAATAGAGTTTTATTAAGACCTATTTTAAAGAAAACCTCTTATGAATTATTTTATAACAAAATTCCTAAAGTATCTTACTTTAAAGTTTTTGGTTGTAAATATTTTATCTTAAACACAAAGGATAACTTAGATAAATTTGATTCTAAATCCGATGAAGGAATTTTTGTTGGATATTCTAATCATAGTAAAGCATATAGAATATATAACAAAAGAACACTAGTTATTGAAGAATCTTTACATGTTTCATTTGATGAAAATTTTTCAAAATCACCTATTATTTTAAATAATGATGATGATATAATTGATACTATTCATGATACTACAATGATAGATATTACAAAAGATGATAATTTACAAAATGATTTACCTAAAGATTTTGTAGAAGTTAAAAATCATCCACATGATTTAGTTATAGGAAATATTTCTGATAAAGTAACTACTAGATCTCATTTTAATTTGATTGCTCATAATGCTTTTATTTCAACTATTGAACCTAAAAATATAAAAGAAAAATATAAAAGAAGCACTTCTTAATGATTCATGGATAATTGCTATGCAAGATGAACTAAATCAATTTACTAGAAATAATGTTTAGGATCTTATACCTAGACCTCAAAATAAATCAATTATTGGAACAAAATGGATTTTTAGAAACAAATTAGATGAATTTGGTCAAGTTGTTAGAAACAAAGCTAGATTAGTTGCTCAAGGTTATAATCAAGAAGAAGGAATTGATTATGATGAAACTTTTGCACCAGTTGCACGATTAGAATCAATTAGAATTTTACTTGCATTTGCATGTTTTATGAATTTTAAATTATTTCAAATTGGTGTTAAAAGTGCTTTTCTAAATGGTTTTATAAAAGAAGAAGTTTTTGTAGAACAACCTCCAGGTTTTGAACATGAAAGTTTTCCAAATCATGGTTTTAAACTTAAGAAAACTTTATATGGTCTTAAATAAGGACCTTGTGCTTGGTATGATAGATTAAAGAAATTTCTTTTAACTTCTGGTTTTAAAATTGGAAAAGTTGATTCAAAATTATTTATTAAGAAAATAAATAAAG